ACATATATATATATATATATATATATATATATATATATATATATATATATTATAAAAGATATTTAGTTCTTCAAAATGATTCGATAAATTTTCATGCATTTATCGAGTTGACATGGGACTAGTCGTGCTCCAACGTTTCGATTATTTAATAATAATATTGCGAAGTAGGCGGTGTAGCATTTTTATTTATGCTACACCGCCTACCTCGCAATATTATTATTACAGCATAGTCAGATACCTACAAAAACTATTGTCGCGATAATCAAGTGATCTCGACGTCGAGATTTCACATAGCCGTACGCAAATTTTTTACGCACGCACTCACTTTATCCGCGTCTCGATCTTTCAGTTCGGCAATCGAGCCGCCAAAGGCCAGGGAGCTCCTAGTCCGCGAGTGCAGTGACGGAATCTCTATAAATAGAAAACTGAAATGCGCGAAACGCGGCTGTAATCGATGCAAAAATGCAGAACCAATCTGCAAATCATCGGCAACGATTGAATCGCATTTCCCGCCGAGAGATCCACGAAAGCTAGCGCCAGACTACGAGCGATTCCTATTATTCATAATTTAAAATCTGTAATTCACTGTTTTACATGAGATTTATGAATGTGATGAACGTGATGAAATATATTTGTCATAAAATATATTGTCATAAAAATCACTATTTTTTTATTTATTATTCATAATTCTCCAACTGACTTTTTTCATAAGATCAAAGAACGTGAATCTGTGAATCTCGTTTGCGTGATTTTTGCGAAGTATTGACAATGTTTCATATAAAAAAAAATGTTCTCTGCACACAAGGAAAATTAGACTTAAATCAAGACTAGATATTCTGAAAAAAGAATATTATAATCTTCTTAGAAAAATTTTAATTTAATTTGATTGAATTTGAATATAAATATTGATACAAGTACAGATATTCTCATATCTATAAGCAACATTATAATCTTTATACAGAAGATTTTTAGTCTTGAGAGCAAAAGCAACTTGGACAAAAGTAATATTTGCATCAATATAAATTTAATCAAATCAAGACTTAAATTTTTTTAAAAATATAATAATCTTGCTTATATGAGAATATTTGTCCTGATTTGACTAATGTTTTTTCTGTATACTTATATGTAACAGTTTTTCTATTTAATATATAATATACAATGATATTTAGCTATTGGTTTTATATGAGAAGAAAATGATATATTCAAAGTTTCAAGGCAACGACGACGTAAATTAATTACGTAAATAATCGATATTGTGTCAAGACTTCCGATGCGACAAACTACAAATGATGCTATCATCTGTTATTCTTATACCACATTTCCTTTCCTTTTTACAATTTTGCTGATTCATTTTTCTGATCTCTCGTAGTCAAGAGTACATTTTTATAATATATCTATATCGAGATTGGGTCTGAATCATCATCGCTTTTAAATGTGCACTTGCATGATAACGCGTACGATCGATCGGTAGATTAGTAATCTCGTTGAGTCGCAATATAAATAAAATACCAGCGACGAATCTCTTTATCACGCAAAAAAGAAAAAGAGAGGAAAAAAATACAATTTTTCTTCAAATACATCGCGAGTCGACACGCAGACTTCCGGTAATCGTCGAGATAATCGACGATTCTCGATCGCGAGTAATTTCAATGCCGGACGTGTATCGTGCCGTGCCGTGCCGTGCCGTGCCGAAGAAAACAGAAATGCCTCTTAAAATCACGTCGGGGATGAAGCGGATGTAAAATCTACCGCGTATCGACACGCATGATCGAGCGAAAATAATAAAAGAAAACATTCGGCGTGAGAATACGAAGGTCACTTTGGGATTCTCTCTTAATTCTCTCGCGCCACGCGGCTACGAATCCGACAAATTAAATTCGTTTCGAAATACAAAGAAGGATCGATACTCCCAATGTGAACTGTATAAGCCGCGACTCGCGAGCGCTAATTTTCGATCGATCTCCCTCCGTGTTGATGTACGATGTACGTCGAGCAACAATAATTTTGTTTACGCGCGAGGCCTTGCGCACGATGAAGCAACAGGAATAGGAATTAGAAATAGGAATAAATATTAAATTTTGGAAATAAAAATTAGGAATGACGATTAAACGTAACGCAAAATGGACATAAGTAAGTACAAGCTATGGCTATACATTTTGCGTTTAATTTTTATTTCTAATTTTTTTTATTTTCACAATTTGATATTTATTCCTGTTTTTTCATTATGCACAAGACCTAATTCCTCAAGATGTTTACGACTCCGAGGTGTTTTGGACATACACAATATACCGGTACTGGCATCGCTCGTAAACATTTACTTTTTCTATTGCGACGCAAGTCGTTGATTTTCCACACACATTCGCGATTCGTACATATTACTATATGCACCGAAAAAAAAAGCTACAAAATCGATGTATTGCGGATTTATTTTTTTTTTGACACCCTGTTGTAGACACGCGCGAGAGAGAGAAAAAGAGAGAAAGAGAGAGATATGAGAATGTAACCGGTGTGTTCTGAAAGGTTAGTACGCGTTTTCCGAGGGAACACGAAAAGGATCTTCTCTACGTACCTGGTGGTGCTCTTGAAGAAGTTGTTGCTCTCGCGGTTCATCAGCTCGCTACGGAATCGCGACATCTCATCCTCCATCTTCCTCATCTCGGCGTCGAAGCGCTCGCGTATGTTGGAGAACTCGGTGTCGATCACGCTGAAGTCACCGAGTTTGATGGGAATGTTGCGCTTGATACCACTGTCGGCCATGTTTCCACCCAGGCAGCACTCTCGTGTCTCTTTGTCACTAAATCACTTGACGGAGGACTCACGTCCGTCGAACACGATTCGATCTCGCGAAAATTGGTTACCGGCTGTACTCCGCAGACTCTCAAACTCGCAACGTATCACGCTCGTGTCCCGTTCCCGTCTAAGGAATGAGCGCGGCTCGCCGGCTGCGCCTTAAATACCCGGCGACGCCGGCGGGGCCGATCGTGGGTGTTCGGCCGTGCTCGGTCGCGCCCGGCTCGCGTTCGGTTCGCCTCGTGACCACGCACGCGGTCGGACGGTCGGTGACGACGGACGCCGACGCGAACGAGTTTTTGACATGCACGATAACGAGCCTAAATTTAATTAAACATTTAATTGCTGGATGCAGGAATGTCCTGAGCGAAACGCGAAAGTGTCTTCTGGCTAAATCTCGCATTGTTCGTTTTGCTAAAGACAGATCGTTGAAAATGCAATGTAAACTTTGTTATTCAAGATAGAATGAAAGAAAATTCTCAATCTTTTAAAATTGTTGGAAATTTAGGAATATTTAATTAATACATAGGGAGGGGAAGAGGGGAGGGAGACACTTTTGCTAGCAAATCTAAAAATTTGGTCAAATCTGAATATAATTTTATTAAACTTTTTCAAAATTATTATGTATGACGGTCAAAAATTGCTAAAAGATAAAAAATATTTGCAATATTATTATTTTAAATGTTTAAATGTCCTACATAAAAAAGAACAGCCAACGAAATTATTTTCAAATCCGTATTTGGCCAAATTTTTAGATATGCTAATAAAATTGTTTTTTCCATGTATATTGGTTAGCGTATTCTCTAGCGATTTTTCTCGCAAAAAAACGCAGAAAGGGACACTAGATTTTAAACTAGATTGACACACTTAGAGAATTGTATTATTTCACATCGAGAAAATTCCTATTGAGATCGACGCTTCTAGAGGATTATGGTCGGACTTATTTCGTATTAAAACAAATAATATGTCACTCGAAAAGGAGGTCTCGCTCTTAGAATTTGTTCATATAAAGTTCGTGCGTGGGCGAAGCACGATGTCGAGAACGACACACAAACGAATCATCGTTGCTCTCGCACAACAGAGCATGACTAATAATTTCGCGCGATCATTTCCTTATAAATGACCTCCGCGAAAGAACAATCTCGTAAATTCCACGCATGCATGCCGATGGAGTTATTCGAATTTTAATCGATACGAGAAAGATAAAAATAAAGCAATTACAACTCTACACAAAAATGATATTGCTCGCTTTATGTAATATTTTTTCTAATATTTTTTCGCGAATATTTGTAATATTTAAGATATTCTTACGCTCTGTTTTTAAAATTCATATAAACGAACAGGCATTCGTACTTCAACCAAAAAAAGAACTTAAGAAGCTAACAAGTTGTAATAGCGAATGATATAATTTTTACGGTACTGATCGTTTAATTAGACTAAATTAAAAGGTCTCTTTGAAGTCAATAACTCATCGGATGATCGACAAGATATCGTTTAATATCCTTTCCTTAGAGATATCATCAGTGCGGATATTAATTAAAAGAAATTAAGACAATCCCGAGAAGGAAAGGCATAAAAAATTTTTTATGTAATAAAATTATGGTCAGTTATTCGATAATCTAATTTCATTGATATACCACTGTCTGTACGGAAAGAACACTTTTGCTGACAAATTTAAAAATTTAGCCAGATGTAGATCTGAAAATAATTTTGTTATAGCTCTAAAATTATTATATATGACGTTCAAATTGATTGCCAGAAGATCAAACATTTTTATCTTATTATTATCATGTTTAACTGTCTTATATACGTAATAATTTTGATGGTCCAATAAAATTATTTTCAGACCTGTATTGGCCAAATTTTTAAATTTGGTTCTCTTCGTGTGTACATATCCTTTCATAATCTGCCTTTAAAATTAACATTGTTTCGCAAACTCGCGCGATTAAATATTGGAGATTTCTCTAACGTCAACAAAAGTTGGTCGATTAGAAGCGCATTGCGAACCCGTCGGTCGAAAATCGGCAATCGCCTTGAGAGGCGCGTCATCGGTTCGGGAATGTTAAAAGACCGTTGTGTACGCGTCGTGACGAGAGAATTCTTTTACGGTATTGAAGTGAAGTCGATGAGTGACGCCGACGCTATTTCGGCGCTCCGCGTCGTCACGAGCCACGTTCGCGTCTGAATGGAGCGGCACGTCACTACGCCCCCATGTTCCTCAAACACGACACATTCGACATATACAGTCATTTGCCGTTCGCTCTCGTCACAAGGATATGCTCGTGTGAATTAGAGCATCGCCGACAGATTCTTTGACGTCGAACTGAGAATCCGAGAAACAATCGATTACGCAGACGCACTTTTTCTGCCGCCGAAGGAACTAAACTGAAAATTCTACTACGAAAATATGTAAAGTAAATATACGTTGATGGAATCGGGCATAAATCAACAGAAAATCAAGAATTGAATGTCATTGTTTTTGTTTGCGATAATAAATATTTGAATAAAAAGCTTTAAATTTGATCAGATTATCGGGCTAAATTTTTAGATTATTCTCTCCGCGTATGCTATTCAAAATTCTAAACGTTTTATTCATCATTTATTACGGTGCGTTAAACATGGCGAAAGACGATTTTTATCATCAGCTATGAGTCCCACTCAAGGGCCTAATAAGGGTCTTCTCGAAGAGAATCACGTATTCAGTACTAAAAGGTGAATAAAAGAGATGCGGATCACGATTAACGAGATCATCGAGGTTGCTAAAGTGTGTCAATGTCATCGCTCTCGCATCCACAAACGTCCACAAACGAGATTCTTTACGGGACGGTGGACTTCCTCTCTCGTTTCTGAAACGTCGACGAAACCGGATAGCCGCCATTGATGTGAGGGAACCTGACTGGCGTGACGTCATCTCCGTGGGGGTTTCGCCGGTCGATAAAAGGCGTCACAGCGGTTCCTAATATGGATCGAAGATAAGGTCACCGTGCATAATGACGCTGCACGATCGATCTTTCCCGTAATTGCACAAAGAGAGAACATTATGACAGCCTTAAGCCTCCGATTTATGATGTATTTGGCATATGTTATTTTAACATGTCTTTAAGGGCACATATTGAATTTGATTTCTTTATTTTAAACAGATCGCTTCGTTTGGATCACGACAGGATCGCTTCATGTCTTTTACCGCCGAACCGGTTCAGAGTCAAGTTTTGCCTTAAGCTCAGTCTTGGTTATTATTTATCGTAATTGCGGAGAAATTCAACATTTCTAATTTATGATGTATTACTACTCGTAATAATTTGACTTCTGAAAGATTAATTTGCAAAGAACGCTCATTCGTAAATTCAAAAAAAAGTTTAAAAAGTATGTGTTTAATCTAGTTTTGCGGGAATACAATTTTTTAAATATTTTTATAAATACATATTGAAAGACGCGTGATACTTATTCGTCCAAAAAACAACTTTATTTCACTTACAAATTTTCAACCTACTTTTATACGCTCTCTCTCTCTCTC